CCGTGACAAGCTGCATCGAATCAATACCCATTCTATGCAAAATATCAACTTTGAAATTTGACCTTTTTGACCTGGCATTGACCTGACCTCCACCAGAAAGTGACCTAAACCGTTTCTGATGGCAGAGGTGTAATTTTCGTAAAATGATTGTGGGTGCCCTGCTGTGGGGGCGCCAGGCCGCTTTGGGGTGCAATGGATATTCTTTATGTGGGAGCCTAAATTAACACCGAATTTAATATCATTGCTAGCCGAAGGGCGCTTCAAGTGACATGTCTGACAAAGCAAATGCACGGTACCTATATCAAATACCTATATCAAATTCAAAAATCAGAATCGTGCTGTTGTACATGTGGCCTCCGAACCGAAAATGTCCAACACTTTGTTCTACACTGTCCACTGTACCAGTCGTTGAGAGATAATTTATTCACCGATCTCTCCGATACAATTCAAAACTTTACACACCCTCCATCAGAACAAAAACTTGACATCCTCTTCCACGGCAAATCCCTCAGCGCAGAGGATGGTCGGCGCATCGCCGAGTGCTTCCAGATTTACATTGAAAAATCCCTCACCATCAGGAATTCGGCGGCGGCTGGCGGCGGCGTGGCCGCGCGGCGGTGACAGCAGCCCTTTCTTGCGGACATCGCCACTCGCCAGTGAACTACCTCAGAGGCGGCAGCTTTACTTCAGTTACTTATGTTTATACGTAACTTAGTTGATACCAACGGTTATTTTATGTTTTTATGTGTACTTAATTTTTCATTGTATTTTTCTTTTAATTCAATTATCAAAACTTCGATTTATCATTATTTGTGTTGCACCCGATTTTTTTTTCTTGTCATGAATGACGTGTGAATGAGCTAGAGTGTGTGGGGGAGAGGTGCCATGAAATAAGCTGAATAGCTTTTGCACCGATCCCAGATTGCCTGATGTCTATTTATGCGAAAATATTCAATAAAATCGAGCAAACAACAACAACAACGGTTAAAAGTGTAAAGTAACCGGAAGGGCGTCAAAAAATGTAGAGGGGCGCCATTCAGTAGGAGGGGCGGCAAAATGTAGGGGCGCCAGACGGTTACAAGGGCGCCGTGAGACCTTAAAAGAGCGTCATTCTCCTGGAAGGGCGCCGAGTGATTGAAGACACTATATGGTCCAGGGGCACTGGGAGGCCAGAAGGTCGCCAAACAGTCAGTAGTGCTAAGTTGGTGGGGACATAGGGGCGCCAGACGGTTATGAGGGCGCCATGAGACCATGAAAAGGGTGCCATTCTCCTAAAAGGGCGCCGAGTGATTGAAAACGCTATGTGGTCCAGGGGCGCTGAGAGGCCAGAAGGGCGCCGAACAGTCGCGGGATGCACGGTGGACAGAGACCTAAGGGCGCGAGATGGTTAGGAGAGCGCCGTTAGACCATGAGGATGGCGCGGTGCTGTCTAAAGGGCGCCATTCTCCCAGAGGGGCGCCGAGTGATTAAAAACGCTATATTCTCCTGGAACGTGGGACGCTCGGGAGGACACCGTTAGAGCATGCGAAAGGCGCTGTGCTCTCGAAACGACGCTTCTAAAATACTTGCAGGTGCATTTTCATCATTGTGGGGGCATAATTCAGGATTGTGGGTGCATCTGTCCTCACAAAGAGATAAAATTACACCTCTGCCTGATGGTCTTATAACCAACACCATTGAGTTGGAAATGCAAAATTGGCCATAAAACATGTATCGCACCGCCATAGTAAAATTGGGCTCATGTGCTGACCCTTGGTGAACTGACCTGTGACCTGACCTGGTATTATCAGTGACCTCTAATAGCAACATATGCACTAGTCAACTAACGCCCTATCGCTGATTTTCAATAAAATGCGTTTTACTCGATGTTATAACGCATTCCCTAGAAGACCCGTAAACGGCAAAACTTTGACCTGACCTGCAACGTCACTGGTGACCCTGAGGTCGATCAAATTAGACTTCCCGAGATAAATTTGACAGGGCTTTCGAGCACCGTTTAAATTTTGCGGATCCGTCCAGTAGTTTTTGAGATACGGTTGGGGGGGGGGGGGGAATAGCCTCCCCTTGTGATTTGATATTATGCAAATCGAAATATTAGTTTCCTTTGCCATGCTTTTCTGTTCCGACGGTTGGATTTGGGAGTTTTCATATTATTATATGATTTTCTGCATTTTCTCCGTGAACAGCTTTTTCGACCGAAAAATCGTCGAAAAGAAAAATTCGAAAAAAACATGACCTCGGTTTGACCTCTATAACTCATGACCTGAGATCCTATTGTTCCAGAGCTGTGCCAAATTATTATACGGAAAGATAGGAAAACTGCGAGTCAAAATTCGTGGCGGTTCTGAGTAATGTTAAAAAGAAAACAGGGGATCTTTTGGGCCTCCCAACGGATCGTGATTTAAAACCATGGTTCTGGCAAACACATGACTTCCCTAAAATACTGAAATTGAAAAAAAAAAACATGTAATAATTTTGCAGAGAGGTGCAGTCACGCATTCAAGCTTTAATTGATTAGAACATCCTTGACACTTGACAGTTGACAGATATGTACATTGTACATTACACATTCATGCTAATAATATAGACCGGTCTGACAGATATGTCGCTTCTATTAAATCCTAAGCGCGTGGTATTGTTTCCCATATAATACCTACAGTTCGTGGTTCATCGTGAGATGATTTTAATGCACGATTCTGATCTCTACGAGTGTCATTGACATTGACATTAACATCCAGATCATCCCGTGTCGGTTGGCCACAAGTCTCGGTCGCACAGAGGAGCAGGATCCGCACCTGATGTCTGAACTAACGGCACTGGACGCAGATTTGGGCGCTAGCACGGACCGTGGGATTTCCCATTGGATATCACAAACTGATAGCGGACGCCGAGCGACATTCAGATGTGGTGTCCGATTTAAGATACTCGGAAGGTCAGCATAAGGTGAAGTTCATGATTATTTGCTGCATTTGACTATTTTACTGACATCACGCAGACATAATGATACGAGTAAAACGCAAAAAGCAGATACGGAAAGAAGGGGAAGAAGAGAAAGAATGACATTTCCAAAGATCAAAGGCGAAGAGAGGAGTTGAGAGAAGATTTGCTACTTTTGTTGACGACTAGCTGATAAAATACCACAGATGACAGGACCTTCCTTAACCCTCGCCCGCACATGGGGGGGGGGGGGGGTGGTTGCCACACACCCCCCCCCCAGGTAGTCTTTCTGCTCTGCACTCAACATTTTTAGAGCTAGAAGGCTGATTTTTCGTATAGCTGCTCCTCTATCCTTTCTTGATGTCCACTGAAAATTTCAAGTTTCTGTGGTTTTTTGTTTCGGAGATATGACCTTGTTTTTCAGGTCATGTCATGACCCAAATGGCCAATTCTCAGCATATTGCGTTGGCTATGGGCCTTGTGAGCTTTTGACACCTTGATTTCGGCCTTTTTTGCCAGTCTTACCTCCCACCTATCATGGAACATGTTGTTCGACGATGTACAGATGTCAAGGTCAAGGTCAAGGTCAACCTAGGTCATCTAAGATAATTGCGTTTTAGGCAAGCGGAATTCACTTTTTGTGAAGTTTTTTGACTGCATTTTTGGTAAAAGCTTCTCAGATCATGATTTCATGTAATATGGACACATAAACAATCGGTGCACACATCATTATACACACAGACACACACAGACATACAAACACATATAATTGACCTTGACCTAACTTGACCTGAAATGACCTCAGCAGCAAAAACCTGGTCGGGTAGTGTGACAAAGAGGTTCTAGCTGGCTTGGCACCAGAAAACGGCATCGTCATCGGTATATGATAAGCAGCGCACTTGATATCCAACGGTGACCCAAAACAGCAACATTTTTTCGTTTGACCTGACCTGGAAGGTCAATGACTGACCTGAGAAGGTAAAACTGGGTATCATTGGATTCGTCTTTTCCCAAAGAATCTTTTTGGTCTTTACCGCTAAGCTCTATCTCCAACAGGAACGAAATGGCGCGGGGGGGGTGGCAACCACCCCCCCCCCCCCCATGTGCGTTCTAGGATGGGAAAATGGCATGTGCGGGCGAGGGTTAAATATCTGATAGAATTCACGTATTTCAATGGACGTAAACATCAAAATAACAAGTTGTTTCGGAAGCTAAATAATCACTGAACAATGAACATTGAGATGTATTCCGAACTAATCACCCATGAACGGGCACTCTCCGTGTCTTTGCTTCAAGCACGGAGAAGGCCCCCGACACCATGCTTCCATCAGATCATCAGCACCTGGGTTGCGTACGCATGTATAGAGCATAGCTCGTTTTATTGCAATGATAGTCACTAGTCAGAAAAGGTTTAAGTGAATAGGATGGCGCCCAAGAAGAGCCCCTGAGATACGCCGTCACCAAAAATTTTGGCCAGCGGCCGTGCTCCCTGCACCTGAACGGGACACTTAGAGAAACTTTTTGTGCTCGTCCTTGAAAGAAGGCCTGGGACCCAAGCCTCAAAAGCACTCATGCTTAGTTACTGGAGAGGGAGTAAATGTTATTGTTTTATTCAACGAAAAAAAAAAACTTGTTTTGATCGTTCATGAGGACGGGGAGGATCAAATTGTGCAGAAAATCGAAGGAGTATGAAAAAAATGTAGGAAATAAGAAGGCAAGGGATAACTTTTAAAAACACTCATTCGTGGCAATGTCAACAAATCAATGGACTACGTCAACCGTCACGCCAATTATCTGTCGCAAGCTTGCAATGCAATGCTCGCATGCCTTTGTTCGCACCTTGCACCTTCAAACGATTGACTCTAAAACGGAACTATTAACTACTTCTTAGTATAAGCTGCATTTTTGTTGTGCAATAACTCGAACATAACTACCTTATTTAGCAATAACATTCAGCTACCACCGCTCAAACCTAATCCTTTTTCACAACTTTTATTCTCGCAGACATGACACCGAGATTGAACACCCGATCCTTTGAAGTGTGCTTATGTAGTGCAGCCGTCGTGGCGAGCTGGCTCGTGTGATGGCTATCCTTGCGGTGTGCTGGGAGCGCCTCCTCCAGAGCACGGCGGACCGGTCCGGCGGGCTGTGAGCGACCTCCGGGAGGCTGAGGGGCCGCCAGCGGCGCCCACGAGCTGGCAGTCAGAGCAGGACCCGCCGCCGGGCAGCACGGCCGCGCTCTCGAGGACGGTCCGCTGTCGCCGCGTCTGTCCGTCTGTCCGCCGGTCGTCTGTCCGTCTGTCCGTCGGTCGTCTGTTCGTCTGACGAGTGTTGACGAGGCTCGCCACCTCTTGTTGATTAGTCGCGACCTGTGGATAGCAGTGGAGAGGGCGGATCCTCAGGACATCGCCTTCTGCCAGGTAAGCCTGCAGCGATCTACCTCCAATCTCATTCAGCAATGTTGTTAGTGCAAATACCAAATAAAAAATATCAAATACCAATCCAAATACCTAACCTCTAGAGATGAATTTTTGACGATTAGCCACCCTTCGATTTAGGTCGTGTGAATGAAGGTCAAAGGCAGCCATGCTTCCATTACTCATAAGCAGTAAATATTTAATCGTTAGCAGTTCTAGGAGCGCTAAAACTCTTCTATCGGCTTTATGTTGCATCATAAAAATGTTGACAGCTCCGCCGTACTAATAACATCTCAGAATTCATTACAAACTGCAAATAAGATAATGCCAATCAAGCTCCCACAACGGTAGATAACGCAAGCATCATGGCTCATGGGAAGTCTGTTGCCCAATGCCCAATGACAATGTTAGGCAGCTACGATTCTATGCACAGACAAAATTATTTTGTATGGATGTTCAAAGTTTGTATTCGTGCTGTTTTCCCTGCGGGATGTATCGGAAGATCATGATAAATTACATAGATTTGATAGTTATGCATTCAATGACCGCTCTGACAACTATATGAAGTGCGCGCTTTTTTACGCATGAGTAGATGGGTGAATTCGAAAGTGGAAGTCTCCTCTGTATAAACATTTCACACTCAGTTGCATGTGACTAGCTCCGTGGCCCATGGCCTCACCCAATCACGACATACCAATGCAGGCTCGCCACCATAAGCGTAGCTCAACAATGACGCAGATACTGCCAAACTGCAGAGCGGAGACCGGCAGTCCTTCAGTCGTTGGCACGCAAACCCAAAAGTCGAGCGGGCGGTCCTTGGCAGACATGCAACATGGTGCCACCCACCGTCCGGACAGCTACCGGTAGCGCGCACGCGACATTTATGTAAATAACCGTCATAGTGCTGTAACTGTATGTAGACATTCTGCGCCGTATACCAGTTTTAACGTTGGATGAGTAATGAGTATTAACTATATATATCAGCTTCTACTCAGCCTGCTCTCTATCACGATCATTAATGATCATACCTGCTTGAATCATATCGAATTCTAAATTACAGCTGCAGGTGCCCCATCTGCACTATTTTGGCTAATTTAAAGATATGTAGTCTGAACATGTTGAAATTCTGCTTACATTAATCGTCTTAACATAATACAACTTTACTTTTATAGGGAACCGTAATTCTGATAACGCTTGCATCCATATTTTTTTCTGGTAGGTACATTTCCATTTTGCATAATCTCAATGAATGACTGACGAAACAGGATGTGAACTGGGTAACGGATCATTCTGTTCTAAAATACATACATTATGCTAGTGTCGGCATGTAATTCTGTTAACTTACCCATGTTTCATTCCCATCTAAATCGAAGCTTAGAGATTGACTTTTTTTGCAGTGAACAAGGAGTGATGCAACTTGATACAGCCGTTCAGTTTTTTATGGATGCTATTCACGTTATCTTTTTGCTAGTGCACCAAAGCCATGAAAAGGATTTATCCCGCACCGAAGACAGTGTTTACAATTGCTTCACGTGCAAAGAGAGAGAATTATCAGATGTCGTTTAACTGATTTGTTAAACGATGGTTAAACGTTAGTGACGATCTTGGTGACGATTAACAATCGTAACAATCTGTCTCTGCTTCTCCTTGTCTCTGGCTGTGCTGAAATATGTCGTATTTTTATATAAGATGTATTTTTTTACATTTAAGCGCCCGAAAGATATCGGCGGTACGGGATAAAATTATTAAACCGCTCGTAGGTAGAACAAATCTTTCAAACGTCAAGATTTGTTCTACCTACTCACAGTTTAATATATAATATCGTCGTTGCTTATTCAGGTGTATGTACGTCGTACTTCGCATGCTTTGCAAACCTAGTGCGTTGATATTCTTTGCTTATGCAGTACCTAAGAACTGAGGTCTAGCATGAAAAATTATTGCTATCCGAAAATATCTATCAGGTAATTTATCAATGCTGAAATAAACCGATATTCTTCATAAAAAGATGCCACATTTAAACCATCCGTGGCCCGTGCTGTTACCATCATAGTGTAACAAATCTATCTCAAACATATCGCGACTCTTCATAAGACGCTACCGTTCTCAAGTTGTTCATCAGTACAAGTCAGAGACAACCTGACAAAACCTGGAGGTGGAGCTGACAAAAAATACCTGAAACCTATAAATCTTGAAAACTAATACCAAACTTATAACAGCAACATTTCAGGGGTCGTGACAAAATACATGGCCAGGACTGTCTCCTCATTGCAATAGATAAGATAAAACTAGTCATTTGAGAGCAAATTTCCTAAATGTGTTGCCGGTTTTTATTAAGCTTGCTTTATCATAGGAGCTAAGAGCTAGGCAGTAAGCAAGATGAACTATTTGGATGTGTAAGCAAGCAGCAAAAGCTTTTTTGGTTTCCTGAAAGTAGGTAATAAAATATTTGAGCATCAGACCTATGGTGTAGGGACCTGTTTATACATACACGGATCTCATAGGCTCAGAATTATTGGCTTAGCAGACTAACTTAAAGGTAGTGTGCCACCTTTGAAAGATTTCCCATTTTATTTTTCCTAGGATAAGAAGCTTCTGTTTTTACCTAATATCGCAAAAAAAAAATCAAAAATGGGCCTGGAATAGTGCCTTTTTCGCCTAAAAGTTTATCGGTTTTTCGATATGTATAACAATTGTAGTGGGCTGACCTGTAAACAGGCGTCGGCAACAATCGCGAATGCGGCGCACATGTGACAATAAGCAAAGGTCATTATAGAGTTACGACGTACGGGAATGAGTTATCAGCTGTCTAATCGTAGACAACACAATGTCGAGCCTTAAACTGTAAGCCTGTATTGGTATTGTTTCTTTTATTTGGCTGTCGAACATTATTTATGGTTTGAAATATGATTTTATGTAAAATAATTGATATAAAAAAGCCGTCTCTTAAGTTATGACCCCATTTCACCACACGCAAGTGGCAGAAATGACAATGATCAGCTGACGCATTTTTCTTGGCCGAAGTCAGAGCGCGCGGCCCGACGCACCACTGTAGCGCGGGGGACTGAACAGGGGTGCGGTGGAGTGGGGGGTGGAGTTGTTTTCCGGGGGGGGGGGGACTTTCTTGGTGGGTCTGTTAGCAGTGGGTTAGTTCGTTGCCGATGTGAAGCGCTGGAGTTGTGCTGTTGGAGACTGGAAGTGTGTGCGTAAGTAAAGTTGATTTCTGGAAGCCCACCCGGCATACAAATGCATCTGATGGGAGATGCTTTCATTTTGAGGCTTGATCATCATCGCATTGTATAGACGTCGACTCGGTAACTTCACTGCTCGGGCAGGATGGACAGGCTCCAACCCGTGGGTAATCGACACAGTGAGAGAAGGGCTGGATAAGGCATGGTTGGGGTCGTAATGATCACTGCCAAGCCATTTTTTTTTGCGTTTAACTTGCTTTACTGGATGGCCATTCGTCCAGTCACCAATTCATCATCACTGGTCTACTCTACCCCTTTCAAATTTGCCCACTTATATCGTATTAGCGTAGCTGAATTTAAGTGCCCTCGAGAATCATTTGCGTGACTGTCCTAACCGAGCTGCACTAAACTCCTATCGGCCTTAATCTAAGATTCATTCTTTTATCATACGCACTCGCATTCTCACATACAAGCGCTCTTCATTTATTCACCCAAAATTTATTTAGTGCCCCTCCAAATCCCTCCGATAGTATTAGGTGTCTGGCAACAATAACCTCCCCGGCGAGATAAATGTCTCTCTTATGAATCCATGTGTGCTTCCGCTAACCGGTGGCCAAGCCACAGGGCCGTCCAGTATTGCATGCAGATAATTATTCACCTTTGTAATTTAGTCGGATCCACAACACGTCCCATAGACTTATGATGCAAATTCGCGAATTACACCCGGCTGGTTTCCCTTTTGAGAGAGCGCTAGGCCTCGCGCTCCCTCCGGTCCACGTCCTGGAACTTACCGTTCACGTCCTGGGACCATAGTTCACGTATCCACGTCCTGGAACTATCTGCCTGGAACTCATCTGGTTCCGTGGGTCTTACGTTACCAGGACTCACGAACTCCGAGGGGGAACTCTCCCGGTCCCCCAGAGGCTGTCCATCACCGGATGTGGCCGGGAACTCCTGGCTCATACCGATGATCAAGATGCAGATAAGTATGATGACTTCCTGGGACGTACGGCTTCCTACACCACCTGTGGATGACTTACCAGTGACCCAGCACTCCAACGTTCCTGATGGATCCTTGACTTCCGCTGGGATCCGCCGTTTCATGCCTCTGAGCCTGCCTACCTTTGCCCACTAAATAATCCTGCGGGAAACCAACAACAACCGCGGTATCACCACGGTGGGTAACGTGAATAGCTCTGCTAAAGACGATGTGCTCCTTACCTTACATTACCGGTCTGGACGAATTTCTCAGGAAGTTCTGTGTCTAAGTCATGCTAGTCAACATTCCGACATAAGAGCCGGGCAAACAAACCCTCTCCTCATTTAGACTCCGGCTTATTGATCTAAGATAGTCAGCTTGCACTATACCTTGTAGCCACTCGAATATGACAGATAGAAAGATCAAATGTATCATCTTGAGCCATTAAATTTTCGTCCATCTTGGTCGGGTGAACTACTTGCCACCAGCAACCACAAAACCACGAGTATTCAGGTTCGCTAAAAATATAAGCCCCAACAATTTCACTGATACTGTTTACCTGGTCTGAAATATTCTGCGTCAATAAATCTCCCATAAATTACGACAAAGAGCCGACGGACCGTCCTGTCCGCCACCAGCTCTGTCCCGCGACTAGTGATGCAAACAGTACGCCCGGACTGCCCATGATAAACGTCATTTGATGGCTATGCTCGATAATACCACGACATTACGACGACCTAGTGACATTATGATAACCCAACATCTTTGAACAATTTACCACGTTCGTTTCCACAATTGCACGCCTCGAATAATTGAATTCCTTAACAGCTGAATTC